GGAAAACCAGGAGCAAAAGAAACGCCGGATCTGCCAGGCTCCCCGGCGTCAAACACAATCTCTCGGCCCCGGGGCTTGCAGTTGTGCCAGTAGCTGGCCCACCTGGCGCGCGAGATGTGTATCAAAAGGGGAACCAAAACTGGCGGGTTTCCAGGTGATTTCCCTGCAAACAACTGTGAAGGGGGTACTCTCCAAGACAAAACGGGTGGGTTTCCCAGTGGTTTCCCTTGCCAAACAATTGTGAAGGGAGTACCCTCAAAGAAACACACCGAGGTGGCTATTTCTCCTCCGAAAATGAGGGGCTTGTACGAGGTGAAGGGGGTAGGTGGATGTTTAAAAGAGTGCACCACGGCAGATGCGCTGAACTGGTGCTAGTGGACGAATGGAAATGTGCTCGCGTATAACTGTATGTTCAGTAGCTGTTTCGAAAAGTACGAATCTACCACCAATTTAGTCACCATGCTTATACTACCTAACTACTCCCGTTTTTCTTCCATTAAATCCAATGCCCACTGCTGATTTGCAACCAAGTCTCTAGCAAGTTACTACCAACTAATACAAAATCACTACCAGTCTATGTTCAACATCTACTACGTCTTTCACCAGAAGTCGCACTTTGAAGTCCAAGCTCACTTGCAAGCTTGGAGTACTAAGTTGCTTCCAAACTGGTAGCAACTCTGGCAAATTGCCCTAGCACAGCCACAATTGCGTACCATTCGCCAACTAATAGCCATTCCAAGCCCTCCCGACAATGAACTGACTGGTGGACAACCAAAAAAGCAACTCTCAAACATTAGTGGTAATAAACATGGACCAGCATGGCAGTACCACTTGTGGTGGTTACTATGGGAAACTTGGCAGCAAGTAACTAGGGCTCAAGTTGGAGATCGTGGCAAACTAACTAAGCTAAACTCCTAGGCTTCCTGGTCGTCAAAGCCCCCAGAAGGTTTGCCTCTGGTCACGGCTGCTTCCCAGGCTTCAAAGTGCGATTTCAAGGAGTCCCAACGGCAAGGTTTTGATTGGACCATCCGCGCGGGAATCCGAATCTTAGGTACCAATACATGCCCCGTTCCTTTGCAATAAAAACGGGGTGCTTGGCATTCCTTCGGGACTTATGTTCCCGTTGAAGGGACAGTCTATCCGCTTCCAAAATTCGGTATGTAAGTGTTAAACATGCCCTTAACAAAGCGTGGATTCCCTTTCGCCCTGGTCACATGACCACACGTAAGCCATGGTGTTTGTGTGGCAAGGGGCTACTAGCCGACCATTTGATCTTCCCACAATGCCCAGAAGCTGGGGGCAAGTGAGGAAGGATGCCAATCTTTGAAAGCAAAAATAAGTTCCCTCGGGTGAGTGTTACTGCGAGTACTCCCCGGCAAATTAAGATGGAACTCAAATGGAGGTCCTCCAAAATCCATCTGCAGGTGCTTACAGGGCATCAACCCCCTTCTGAGGATTCTTCTTTCCAGAACCCCTTCCCCCAAAGCAACCAAACCAAATGGCCGACGTTTTCCAACGAATTGGTGTGACCCCTCGAGGGCTTCATCGAAGCCACCGTCGATGTGCGCAAAACGTCTGCCAGGCGTGCGGGGGCGGTTTCAGCGCCGGCGTGGGCGCCGGGCGATTGGCCATCGCCTTGATTTCCGATTATTCCGAAACAGCTCCTGAGTTCACTCGAGTTTTCGAGCGTTCTGGGGCCTGGGCTACGGGAAACAAAAGGAAACAAAAAACATTCCCAGACCAAATCTGGTTGTTTTGATTTATGTGGGATCATGTTGGGTAAGTTCCCTGCGGTGTAACACGAAAATCCTTCGACCAAAGTCTGCCAACTCAAGTTCATTCGAAGGGCAACTCGTGGCCATTCTTTTCAATTCATCAAACATGGGGTCTGGGAACGGTCAGGAAAAGACATGGCCAGCCGCCAGACAGCCTGCATCTCAGGAAAGGACTGGGAAGCTAGGCCCAGATCTTGCAAATACTGACTTGTGTTGATTGGCAATTGGGGCTGACTTTGCTCTGAGCACGGGCTGGTAAGCAACATGGAGGAGCGCTCCGGGGATTTTTTAATAATATTCTATGTGTTATATCTCGAGTGCCTGCGCAAATGGTATGGAGTGCCTTTGCATTTACTTGGCCGCTCTGCGGTAAGCTAAAACAAGACTGCACACCCAGGCTGGAAGCAATCAGAGGTAAAGAGGTATCGCTCCCTGTTGAAACAGGTAGCACCCATGATTTGCAGCATTGCTGATTTCGAATTGCATATTACCTTGAGAAACTGTAACATTTGTCTACGTCTGATGCTGCATGCCTGACAAAGCCGCAGGCTGAACGCCGCGTTGCAAATACGATTGCGAGACCGCAATCTGCAGCCAATAAGCAATTGGCCCTGGGTGATCATTCTGAAGCTGCACAGGAAACCGCTTCCTGAACGCTTCTGAGTTGCCCCGTGGTGTCCCATAGAGTAGGTAACCAGGAGTCGGCAACCCTCCAGTTTCTCCTTGGTTTCGACAAACTCGGACAAGCTGCTTTAAAAAGACACCCATTTCTGAGGTCTCTCTTGAGCTAGTTTTACATCTAAGGTTCCTTGAATATGGACCCGAATCAAACACATGTTTTGTTACTGTAGGGAAAGGCTGAAGTAGGTTTGGGTCTTAAATAGAAAGTCCTAGCTTAATGTGGACAAACAAGATGCTCCTGTTTGGGGAGTATGATTGCTTTATAACACAAACGCCGCTTTGTGTTGACTGATTTTCAAGAGGGTCAAACACGAGTCAAATGGGAGAGAACCTACAGTCGGTTGGCGTTCCCTGTCTCCGAGCGCATTCTCCGTAGCGGGGCCCCGGCCCAGACAACCGCCCCTTTCGGGATCTCGTCGATCGAGGCGATCTGGCTAAGGGCCCTATTAGCTTGACACAGTTTGGCCTTGGTTCGTAAGACAACCCTACTCAACAAGCGGATTGTACTTCCCAAACCTGGGAGTGTTCCCCAAGAAGGGTCCCCTGTATCCTGACCGGACCGTATCGAGGATGCAAGTAAAGATTCGAGCATGGAATTTGGAATCGTCACTTCTCCAGATCGGCTAGTTTAATGCAAATGTACAAATCAGTCATCGCGAATGTTGGTTATTTAAGATGCCAACTTTGCCTACCCCAAACTACTCAAGGCTGCAAGTTGGCAACATCATGGGGTTCTGGTTTGAGCCTCTTACTTTTGCCACGCTCAGGGAAGCGCTCAAATCCAGCTGATCAAACGCCCAGTTCCAGTTTGTTCGGTCGTATGTTGCTACGTTCGCTCGTGCGTGTGCGTTGTGATTGTGTGTGTGTGTGTGGCTGCTTGCTTGTGCTTGCTTGCTTGTTTGTTTACTTGGTTGGTGGGTTGGCGGCTTACTTTGTTGGTGGTTATTCCTGTCATGCAGCAATCTGCTGTGTTCAATACCTGGAACACAATACTGAAGTTACTTTCCGGGTTGTTTCCAAACGGGGGAGCCCTGTGGAGGATCCGTTGCATATCGACGTGGGTCCCACCTCCATGATGCGGCCTGGGGAAAGTCTCTGCAGTCTGCAGCATCTGGCCGAAATCGACATTGACCCGGGAACTCCAAAAAGGGGACAACCAAGGTGAAGAAGCAACCCCAGACAATCCATGTAGGTGATATGTACCTACATTTACCTTCCGCACGGGTCAAATATTGGTATATATTCCCTGCTTGGATTGCCTGGGATATGCTCTGAGTCTAATGAACATCATGGCAGCCCCAAAGCAATCGGATCCAACTAGTCAGGAGAGGAATTGCCAAACATAAAGCACGACGCGAATCGATCAACAGCCCACTTCGGATAAACAACTGCCATTTCCTCCAACACTGCTCCACGCTCATCCACGTCAATCCGAATCTGACAGCTGGATCCAGGGCCATGACCGAACCGTTCCCTAAGATTGCATCAGCAACCTTGTTTTTCCCAACACACTTTGAGCGGGTAGACAGTGCAAGCAGCCTGGCGTGTTGTGGTGGTAATGCTCACCTGCAGAGATTCCACCGTTGCCCCGTTTAAGATCATCCATATCCATATCAGCCACCAAAAGGACAGTAGATATGGAGGTGTCTCGTTTTAGGGGACCCCTCAAGCAAATACCAACTCAAAACCTCAGGGCTGTTGCTGTCACCACAGAGCCTAGGAGGGTATTTCGCGCCATTGGACCGGCCCTAACGGATGCCTTCTCGAGCGCTCGGGGTGTAGTTGGGCGCTGAAAAAGCATCTGGATCAAGCGTGGCTTGCCAACGAATCAAACAAGGAAACCCAATCAGCCCTGACTGCCTGACAACAAAAACAACAACAACAAGAAGGAAACCCGGTTTCCCCTGATTCCCTGACAATGGGCTGCTGTGGCAGACGTGTTGCGGCGGGGATCCGTTGCTTCGAGTTGGGTCTTCCCGGTCTTTGCGCCTCCAGAGCACTTCCATGTGAGCCTCAGCCAGGCCAAAGGGCGACAAGGTCCAAGCTGTTCTTTTGCTTCCCCGTGACCTTTGCTTTCGTTCTACGTGCGCACGCTTTTCTGTAGGACATAAAATCGATAAAATGGTCAGGATTTCACGTTTACAAACACACAAATAATCCTCTTGAGAGTGTCACCTTGACACAGTTCACGGGAAGGCGATTGACTGGTGTGTCCCCCTAAGTGCTTGAACCACCAAGGGGCGACAAGTCAAAACAATCTGTTCTGAAGAAACTTCTGCTAGCAAACATTTGAACACATGCCATGCTCCCTCGGCAACACCCGAAGCGGTGGTTGGGCGATGCAATGGACAAAGGGCAGTGCCTAGAACTCACTGACATTTGGCCGGTTGTCGTATCTAACTAAATAGTTGAGTACTATGATTCAAGTATCCCAACCAACTGTGTAGTGCCAACAAACTCGGCTCTTTCAAGTGCAGCCAGCTCTCGTGGTAGAGGCAGCGTCAAAAAACGGTTGCAGTCCCTCTTCGGAGCGGAGTCAGACGTTCACACTGGCTCTTTGGGAAAAAGCCTGCGCAAAGCCAGCACAAACTGTCACGAGCATCCAAGAAACCATGCTTCCCAACCTAATCTATACCTTCAAGGGTTCCATGCTGAAGAACTACAGAAGAAGGGCACGCCGTTTCGCGGGTTGTCAGGAGAATGCCATTGCATGCTGCTGATTTCGATTCAAGTAGCGGTCTCAGGAAGCCTTCCAAGTGTTCTAAGACAATTTTCAAGTTCGCGCAATTGCACGAGGCAAGCCCTGACCCCTGACCCTCCTTTCAGCTGGAATAGATGACTTTCTGCCCGTTTGCTTTGACGGCCTTAAACAAAAAGACTGTCTAAAATAATTACACACAGATGGCGTTTGGCGAGATATTTTTTTGCCGGCCACCGCACAGTCTGGTTCCCCTCCTTTCTCGACCATATCGCAAAGGTCAAAAGTTGGTCGGAAAAGTTGAAAAGAACGGCACCTAAGATGGGTATGTGTCAAAATAGGGGGGCCTTTGGTTTCCCTAACCAAGCTGAGAAAGGTACCCTCAAAAAAGCTTCACACAAACACAACCACAAACACACACACACACACAAACACACCCACACACACACACACACATGTTCTAGCGCTGTGGTTTGGTCATTGACCCCTCCATTTCCATCTATTCGTTTGGGCCACTTCCCGGCCTTGTCCAGGCTCTTGGCGAGCTCCAAGATGATGTCAAAGAGCTGGTCTTCGTTGTCAATCTGCCCGCAGTCCAAACAGGGCCTAAACTTACCGGCAGCTCACAGAAGTACAAACAGATACATCAAGGTCTGTGATTTTTCACTGGAAAAAACCCAACCCCAAAGACTACTTCCCCATGGTAGCGCAGAACCGGAAAATCATTGACATAGCGGCATCAGTTCAGGCAAAACGGTTCAACAAGCGAACCACAGAAGGAGTCGGACGGCAGTTCCCTGACCCTCAGGGGCAGTTTTCCGGCAGTGCTCGACGGTTTGAACGGATGCGAATCAATCAGCGAGTATCTTACTGTGGATTGGCAATCAAAAGTCTAAACTTCCAGTATGAAGTCCAGCAAGCCCTTGGTTTGATCATAGAAGGGGGTCATGCACGTGAAAACTCCGGGGGAGTGGCAAACCTGGCCTGTCTGTTCATCTCCCATTCCACTCTATCCAAGTGTTGTCCTTCGCCAAACTTAGAACACAAACGAATGGTCTTGGGGGGTTGATACACATGCTTCTTGAAGAGTCCAGGGTGTAGCGGTTGTATCGGTTCTGTGCGACATGTACGATCATGTTCTAAAATAAGCTGTGCTTGGCAACGCCCATAACGGTTGTTTGCAAACAAACACCCAGTTGCGATATGATCAATGATTGAAAAGGACATCTACTCAGCTTTCTCTCCCCGGTCGCTTCCCTCACTATCCCTTTAGTTGGTGGTTTGTTTTAAGGGCAACTCGCCCTGAGAAAACAGTGAGGAATGGGACCCTCCACCCATCCTTTCGCAAAAAACAACATGCTGGGTTCTTGCTTCCACCAAACTGATCAGATTCAAACCAAAATCCAGGGGTTGCACAGGGCTGTGGGTCAAAATTATGAACCCAAAATGCAACCCTGCCAAATGGAACCAAGCACTAAAACCTGCGGTCGCCTGGTTTAATTTTGACCCATACCCACATTTGCTGCCACCCAACTAATGGGATTCCACAAATTTATTTCAACCCAAAGGGATCCCCCCGTTGGCCCTGGCCTCCAGGTCGTCTCGCTGCAGCAGGCCTTGGAGCACCTGGAAAAAACCAAACCCTGTGCCGCCCGGCCCCGAAAAGGGAACCACAAGGAGGTGATTTACACGGCATGTGAACAAAAAAGACAGGTGGCACCAACCCAGTCTTTGATGTGAAAAACAAAAAACTGGTAGCAACCCACCCAGTTGGTATAATGCCAACCATTAGCTGCAACACACAAAATCCGAGCTGTTGATTCGTTGTATGGCTTTGGGATTGACTCATGTGCTCAGGGCTTCAAACCGAGTTGAGGTTCCATGCACCTGGACTGGTGCCATAGCTGGCCATTAGCCCCTATGGCCTGCTGCGTGCTATGAATATGTCGGTTCGAAAAACGTGCCGGGTGCTCCTGTCAAATTAAATGGCAAAATAAAACCCCCAGCTTTTAGGTTGGCCAGAAATCAACTGGGCTATGGCCTTTGAGTGAAGGTCATGCCAGTCTCGAGCTGTCGAACGTGTTCCGTCCCAAATATCTCCATCGTCCCCCCCGGCCTCCACGGGCTGCATCGTGAGGTCCGAGTTCTTGATGGACTTGAAGCAGGTGCCCATCAGGTCCACGGCGATGTGAATCACCTCGCGCCAGCCGCGAGCGGTAAACGGCCGCGAGCGAGCGAGCGAGCGAGGGGTTTGCGTCCTTTGGGGGTGGCACCCGAAAACCGTATCTTGGAACCACAAGTAGAGTACTTGGAGGTAAAAAGTACTGGCCCTATTTGATTTGGGGTTTTACTCCGAGGTCGGTCCTTCTTGTTTTCAGGTTGGTACCTCCTTGGCTGTTGTTTTTGTGGTTTCAGAGGGAAGCCAAAAGGAAAGCCACCATCTTGGGGCACCCAAGGCTCAAAATGCATCAAACAGAAGACCTGTTCTTTAAAGAGAAAAACAAGCGGAAAGCCTTGCCGTTGTTTGAGACTATTTTGAGGGACCCACATCCTGAATGTCATGGGCTTGGTCTGTACGGTCTCCAGGGATGTCAGACGGACTTAAGCGGCACATTCGATCGGACCCCTTGGGTGGGCAATTACTACTATGATTCCCAAGCCTCAAGTAAGAACTCCCCTGGCAAACAACCTTCCTCGGGGAAGATCGTTTCACCCGGATCGGTGAGCTCGTTGGCCCTCGGCTAACAAAGGCGCTGGAAATGCAAAGGATAGGTTCCAGTCTTGGACGCAGTGATATATGCTACATACAAATTAACACATACGAAAGCAAGCTAGCAGAGATCGCCTTCGGAGAAAGGAACCGTCTGTTTGCGGTTGCTCAAAGAGCAAACAGCCAAAAACAGTCGAAAACACGCCAGAAACGTCACCCCAGACCCATCTCCATATGGCCAAACGAGTGGCTTGGGGAAAAAGGGGAAGAAACCAAGACAAAAATCAACATAACTCCAAGGAAACACGTTTCCTACCTGGGTGTTTTGTTTTTGGGGGCTGCTGTTGCTTTCCCTTCACCACAAAGAAAAGGGGTACCGAGCCTCAAAAAGGAAAACGACCCAGCCGTCTTTGTGTGCTTCCTATCTAGATGCTGAAATAGAAACTTAAGTTTTGGTCGGAGACCCCACCTGGTTTTAACCATTGTTGTTGTTTGAATTCTCCAGCTACCACCCTATGGATAACCCTTCGGAGTGGTGCAATCCTCTAGGTGTTACATCATGGGAACACGGCTGGTTACCTACTAGCGGCGAAACGCAACTGGAATCTTGAGGCTCGAATCAAAAAGTAGTTCTGTGGGTCTCTTTAGTCTGTTTTTCCTTGCACCCCCAACAAAAAAAACACAAAGAACAAAAACATCCGGGTCCCTACCAAACAAAAAAAGTCGTTTGTTGTTGGGCTCGGGGATTGGCGTTACCAGCAACAAACGACCCTACGGCTCAATCAGAAAGTCGCCTCTTCCTGCAGACGTCCGCCCAGTCTCAGCTCCACGGCGTCGATGGCAAGCCTGTGGCAATGTGTATGCTCGTCTATTAGATCTTATTGTTTTTGTGTATGTTCGTAAAAACAAAAATGTGCTTATATATATACGTATACACCTGAGAGAACCAAAATGTGGGCCTTCCCAGTTTCAAAAGGCTTCTCTTTCAGGCAAAGCAGATATAGGGAAGGATGCAATGGCGCCCTTATCACAAAATAGGTTTGTCTCAGAAGAACTCAGCAGACCGTGGGCTTTGTGTCCCTTTGGTTCTTGGTATGTTTCGCTCAATCGTCGTAAACTGGGCATCAACATGTGGAGGCTTGGCCTGCTGTTTTTGCCGCTAACCCTGAAAAGGCACGGCAAGCCATTAGTTGTTGCTTGGTGGCAGCTAGCCCGACACTGATTCCCACAGAGGCAGAAACAAAAGGTGAGTCATAATCAAAACCTGGTACTAAAATGGTCGACCCAGAACCATGTAAAGAATCAAGAAGGCGGCCGCACCTATTTATGGTTGGGATTGTCCATTACTAACCTTCATCTATCCAGGTTTTGATTGTGGCTCAGGTGTTTTGTGCAGATAACATCCATTTTCAGGGTTGTTGGACAACTGATTTCCAACAAAAACGGCTCGTTTTGACGGGTTCCTCATTTCAAGACACCCCATGATTTGCCAACCTGCAATGAGAAAGGGACCCCAAGCACAGGGGTGAAGGCTAACGCAATTTTGTGAGGTTGCAATTTTTGTTTGGCTCCAATGATCATGCCGCTTGTCTGAAAGGGGAGAAACGCAGTGACCTGGAGGAAGAAAACGGATTGGAAGCCTATGTTGCTTGATTCCATTGGAAGCCCAAAATAAGGAACTCTACAAATTGACCCCCAAAATCTTGGCTGCTGTTGATCTCTCTGGAAAACTTCAACTTTTTCTGGGTCCAATGGTGCATCCACTGTTTCCCAAACAGTTGAAGTCCAAAGATCCAACCAAATAGCCACAAAGAATAGAGCTTCTTCCTAAGCGTAGCGGATTCCAAGTTCCGCCGAGGGTGGAACCCACGGACTCGGAAAAAGACTCCGCCTCGGCGCGTGTCGCTCCGCGTCCTCGCTGCACAGGAAGGCATTGCCCGCCTCAAGAAATCATCCCATGTTTGACTGTGGCTGAGTGAGCTCTGTACCGTTGGGCCAACCGCCTTTGTGGTGTGTTGGCTCGGGCCCTTGCCTCCACACACTTGGTGTAGAGAGTGCCCATCTGCAGCACATCCGCCTGGGCTCAACCGGATATGCAAAACCCTTTGCAAGAAACACGTCTAAAGTCGCTAGTGCTTAAACATGTTCATTTAGGTTTTCGTTTGAAAGGGGCCAGAGCCTGGTTCTTCAAACATGGGTTGAGCACCTCACGCGCTTTCTTTGGGGGAATGATCACATGGGGGCTTCCCATGGGGAAACCCAGGGTCTGCAGGCACCACGGACGGCTGTTCGAAGGCCAACAAAAACGCCGCTTAGGTGAGGAGCCAAGGGCAAACAAAAGCGCACAAGCTGACAATTTTCAGGAGCCCCCAAAGGAAGACAGGAAGCAACCAGGTCTATTTTGGGAATTTGGAGCACCAGTTTGACTGGAAAAGTCGCCTTTAAGTCTTTAATGCACCATGAGTCCCACTTTGTCGGCGGGTTCCCTTTGGACTTTGCCCGGTTTCACGTCCTCCCGTGTCAACTTCGGATTCCGATAAGGGGGATGGCCAGCCCCGTCTTATTCAGTCTAGCGGGATTTTTGGGAGAGCCCCTAAGGTCCAAGTAACTTGTGATGTGCTTTGACCCTTTGTTGGCCCCTGAAGCACCTGCTCTCAGGATGTACTTGGAGTGTCTGAGTGCGTCTATTAAAAGACATGATATTGTCATCCGCTTCTTGGAATGACCGCACTTGTGGTGCTTGGATCTGATGAGTCTTGGGCTCAGTTTGTTGGGGCAACAAGTCACATGGGCCTAAACAGCACGTTTGTGTCAACTGTTCGGTCATTTTTCTAGAACCAAGGAAAACTCTAGACGCAACAAGTTGACACGGTAGACTGCCTCAGTCGCCGAGTGCTCCTGGCAGCTAAACGGGAACCGCTTGGTCGACACAATTTTCAGTGCGAAAGCTGTTCGGAGTGTAGAGCATCCACATGTATCCACTGAATCCATCTGGGATACTGGTTGCCCTTTACCCTGCGAATTCTGAGAAACCGAGGGTATTTGGTTCTCTACCAGTCTGGTTGCACCACCCCCCGAAAAACCTTCTCGCCCCTACGTCCACGGAGAATGCCAGGCGCTCCGGCCATTTTCACCAAGGGGCCCCAGCTCTCGGCCTGGCATTCGACACGTTAAAGTCATGGCAGCCCGCGCGAGACGGGCTGCCAACAAAAAGGTTACGAAAGGTTGGTGTGGCTTGGTCTCAACATGAGGGAACCCCAAAAAGGGCTGGTTTCCTTTTGGTTTCCCAGTTTAAACACAAAAAGAGGTGCCCTCCCAAAAAAGACTAGCCACCTGTATAGGTCTTACCGCAAGTCGACCAAATGACTTGAGCCTACGGAAACGGCCCTAAGGTAGGTGAGGGTTGCGCTGCTACTTCTGGTTGGGAAGGTTTACTGGTGCTGCAAGCGTCACTGCCACATGACCTTTTGCCAGCAGTTTGGTCTGAAACGGGTTTCCTTTCTGTGTTGCCAAAGTGAGTTCCATCCCCACTCACCACTTTCAAGAGGGTTCCTTGTGTATCATAGCAAATGACCCTAGACCCCAGCTTCCAAAAGCCTGGTTTACTATCTTGCAAGGACATACACACTACTGGGGCTACTGCTCGACCTCCTTGTAGCGAGAGAGCAGGACACAGTCGGTCTGTATGGTTGCACTTCGAGTCAGGCTCTTCTTTCACTTCCGCTGGTGCTGATTCGGAAACATCCTCCAAAGGAATGAAGTCTGGGTAAGGGTCAAAACGCCACCCCACACCCCCGGACTCCATCCCTGCCACCAGCACGTTGTGCTGCACGAGCCAAACAGATTGATCTCAACGGATCTGTACGCGGTTACCCCTTATAACTATAACCATCCCAAACGACTGGCTGTTGCCCACACGAAATGCATATGACCAATGGGTTGTCAAACAGAGAACTCATGGGTGTGAACCAGGGATGTACCACTGGGTGCAATACACAAACCCGAGAAGGGGAAATAGAGCGAGAAACGCCCGCGAGCGCCTGGATGTCTAACTTGTCCGAGTAGATGAAGTCCAGAACTGCCTAGCCACGGAGCCCATTGGAGACCAACCTCCAGGACCCGGCATTGGGTTGCATTAGACTTTAAATTAAGCCAACCCCAAGACGGGCACTCAGCCACGTCTGGGGAAAAAACAGCTGTGCGTACCTGACATCAAACAACTGCATGCAACTCCTCACAATGGATGCGCTCGATGTATCCCAAGCGCTCGGCTGAGGCTGAATCAAGCACTTGTGGAGTTGGCCCCGTACAACTCCGTTAGGGCGCCACCGGAAACACGTAAGCACCACCAAATAGAGAGTTTCACGAAGGCGAGAAGGGGCTGATTACCAAAGCGATATCTTGCAGCGAGGGCATGAGTCACATGGAAGTTTGAAGGGTTCGTCTTTTCCTCTGGTCGAAATAGATCTAAGTGCAAGCAACATCCAAGATAGTTTAAACATGTGTGGCTGGCCTGAGATAAGAATCGAATACTTGTCCTTAACAGATGGGCCAGGCTTCGGGTTGGATGCTTTTGATCCCTTATTTGTGACCACCTGCAAACAAAACGGGGCCATCTCATGGTGGTCGTTGATTTTTGATCCCTCATGTGTGACCACGGGGAAAAAAACGGGGGCCGTCTCTTTGTTGATTTTCAAAGGGTGCTCACTGGCCGCATTGGCCAGTTGGCAGACTGCGCCTCGAAGTGGGACCAGCACTGCTTCGGCAGAAGCCTCGCGAAACGGCGACCCCAGCTGCCCTGTTCTGACCACAACCGGGCACCGAATTGAGAATGAACATGTGGGGATTGATCAATATTCCATTTAGGGCCCCCAAATGACCATGGGTAACTTTTCACCATGGGGGACTTATCAAATCATTTTAGTGGTTTCCTCCCATGGTCATCCCATGTGAAAGGGCTTTGATCAACCCCCATGTCTGGAACTCTCCAAAGTGAGAAGAACCTGGCCTCGGCAAAGTTGCTTGCCATGCGCATGTTTGGACAAATTGGGTGCTCCTTGTCGCCAGTTCAGCGGTGCTGCCATTTCAGATACCTCATGCCTCAAACCGATAGGGGACGATCAACAACAAATACACAGTAATTTATATTGTCTGCTGCTTCTCTGGGACCATTGCTCAATTCGCACCATGAGCGTGGCTCCACCACGTCCCTTACTGCCCCTGACGAGCATCTTGGCCATGTCGCAAACTATGTTGTGTCCTGTTTGACAAAGGTTGAACAAGCATTTAAACATGACGGATGCAGGTCGAATACTTCGTGATAGTCCTTTCAGTTTGATGTCACTGAAGATTGCAGCATCACCATGTGCTCAGTCCAGACAAGGGGCTGCTCACTCCCGAGTGCTTCACCACGTGCGGTAGGCGCCGCATTGCTTAAGGTTTGGGACGCATGTTCGGACAACCCTTTGCGTGATACCAAAGTGGACTATCCTTGTATTTGTTTTGTCATATCCTTTGGTATAGAAAGGGGACCCCAAACTCAGCTGATTCGATAACTTCCCATATCACCTCACAACCAGCTTCTAATCCCGAAAACCCCGCGTTGCGTTTCGGTCTGAGGCCAACTGGCGCAGAGAGATCCGTGTGCTCTTCGGCATCGCCCACGTGCTGAAGCGAGACAACGGTGCCCAAAGCGTTTTGGGTCCACTCCCTGCCACATTCCTACTGCCCCAGGGCCTGAGCCAACCCTACACGCTAGGGTGGGTTTAGGGTGGGTTTCGGGTAGGTTCAGGGTGGGTGTAGTATCTGCCAAGGTCGGTTGAATCCGTGAAAACAACAAACAGTGAAGCACTTAGGTGTCGACATCTTGAAATGAATGGGACGCCCCCGCATGGGTTTCTGGTCTTCCCTTTGGCTTTGCAACTCCGAGAGGGCATCAACTTCAGAGGGGACCCCCTGTGCGATGGTTTAAGCTTAGCTGCCCCAAAGGGAAAAAGGCATAGTCTTTCATCCCGCCACACGGCCACACCACTGGTTCCGAAAAAAGAGAAGCCCCTGGAAGAAGTTGGGATGTAGACCCGCCCAAGTGGGGGCAACCTTCTCATCAGTGTTCCCGTTCAACACAAACAGTCGCAAGAACAAAGACATTCACACAAGGATGCAAATAGTACAGCTAGGATTGTGTCTATTGTGTTTTGTGAACAGAGTGATTGGCTGGAACAAAGAATGGAGGTCTTTCCTTCGAAACATGCATCAAATGATCTGTGAAGGCCCCCTGGCCAGCAACTGATGAACAAACTACCGGGCTATGATTTGCCAAGTGACATCTAAGTGTCAAATGGGTGTATCCAAGCAAGATGCCTTTGGCGGTGGTCTTTTAGAGAAAGCAAATTGCAAACGGCAAGAAAAGAGAGGAGTACAAGTACTCGTTCCCCCCACAGTTCATGTTTGCGTTCTCGCAAACTCTGGCACTACAGCCACCGG